GCATGGGCAATTATCAGACAAATAAATCCTTCTTTAGTATCTGAAAAAATTAATAAATTATATAATAAATTACACCTTATAAAAATATACCTTATATCGTCATGAACTAATTTCTCAGTTAATTTCAATTTGGTCTTGAAAAGTAATACATTTTCTGTTTTAGTTGAAAGATGTTGTTTATTCAGCAAAATATATGTTACTCTGCTTCTCTGAACTAATTTATACTGAACTGTTTCATTTATCTACAGTATTTAGGCACGTATATTATAATTAACTGTAATTAAAATACCTAAAAAGTATTCCCTTACCTTAGTTTTACTTTTAAACAAATACTGTTAAACTATTCAAACATATTAATCTTAAATGTAGACCTAAACACATTTTAGGTTAGTCAGAGAGAGACCGAGAGAGAGAGGCTTTGACTTTAAAACATCTTTAATTTACATTAATGCCTCAAAGAGCAAAGAACAATCATTTCAAAATCACACCAGACTCCCCATTCGTATAATAGCATGTCGTTTTAAATTAAAATTCAAGTAAATAGAAAGAGACAGAAAACAAGCAAAAGAAATAATCTTTTTGATTTCTTGTGTCTTTGTTCCTAACATCAGTCTCCCTCTGAACCATCTGCCGCTGTGAGGGAGCATATAATTACCCCAAACAAACCCCTTCCCCCAGACCACAGTCTCTGGCCTTCCTGATTACCCCAATCCCACCTCAACTGAGTCCCAGAGGAAACACAAATCCTATATTTGACTTAAACAGCTAACTTGTTAGTAATTAATTATAGTTTTGTTTGGAAGGGAACATAAATATGTTGCTTGACTTTTAATTCTGAACTTGGCTGATATTATAAATCAGGGGTCACCAAACTTGTTACTGGAGGGCCGGTGTCCTGCAGATTTTAGCTCCAACACTAATCAAACACACCTGAACAAGGAATCAAGGTCTTACTTAGTATACTTAAAACATCCAGGCAGGTGTGTTGAGGCAAGTTGGAGCTAAACCTTGAAGGGAAACCGGGCCTTCATGACCGAGATTGGTGACCCCAGTTATAAATAATGACATATGTTGTGCTATGCATATCCATTGATGCTGTCGTATGTAAACCAAACAGTATCTGCAAATAATCTGTGCTGGATCTTTTCTCGAAACTACATCTCAAGTTCACTCGATAGGTAGTCAAATGTGTTGTATTAATTTTTGACAACCAGAAATGTTCAAATATATATAGTTTTTCATTCATTAGTTTTGTTTTCACCACTGTGGAATGAACCGCCAACTCATCCAGCAAATGTTTCATGCAGCGTATGCCATACCAGCTGCAACCCATCACTAGGAAACATCCATCCACACACTCACTTACCCAATTCTCCTTTAGCGCATAACTTTGGACTTGTGGGGGAAACCAGAGCACATGGAGGAAACCCACGTGTACACAGGGAGAACATGCAAACTCCACACAGAAATGCCCAGTTGAGGCTCGAACCAGCGACCTTTTTGCTGTGAGGCGATTGTGCTACCTACTGCAGCACCGTGACGCCTATAGTTTTCCGTTTTAAATATAATTTGTATGAAATAAATACTAAATGTGAATAAAATGCTAACAATGTGAACATTAAACATGCTAAAACATCTAGCAACATGTAAAAAAATATACTGGCAACTTGGTGAAGCTTCATAGTAACTTATTGAAACATGCTAGCCACTTTGAAACACGCTAGCAGCATGTTAAAATGTGATTAAGCACATAAACAACTTGCAACAAGTCGTTCAATAAACCTAGCAATTTGCTGTAACAATTGCAAACATTCCATGTTTAAACTAACATTTATAAACACGATTTATAAACACGCTAACAACTTGCGAAAACAAAGATAGCCAGCAATATGGTAAAGAATGCTAGCATTATTCTAAATAATCCTATCAATTGTTTAAACATGCTACTATTAAAAAGCTAGCAAATTGTGAACAAACAAACATGCTAACATCTTGGTAAAACATGTTACTTCCTAAAACATGCTAGAAACATGACAATCTTAGCGAAGCACTAAAAAAAAGCTTGAACATGCTAGAACATGCAACATGCTAAACATAGCAATTGTCTATTACAGTTAACATACTAGCATACGCCTAACGTTAGCTGTTTAAATATCGAGTTAAATGGAGCCATGGCATGGTATTTCAACCTATAAACTCTTGTGTAACAGTTGTGAGTTTTTCCACAAAGTGAATGAGATTCCCTCGTGATCTCTACAGCAGGAAGGCTTGATGCCAGGCAACAGTTTGTACACAGGTCGGGAATAATCCGAGCCCAAGAAATCAGACACATGCACACGTGTGGATGACGAGGGCACTGTGAAAAAAAAATAATCTGAAAGCAGTGCGGAGATTATCTCTAATCCACAGACTCATATATTTTCTCTCATATGCATTTTAAAACACACGAGTGTATATTGTATAAATCGTCTTTAGCGTGGCATGTGACATATAATGTCATTTAATCTCAGGGTAGTGCTCTATATTGGGTCTGTTGATGTGGTTTTTCTTCGGTTAGATGTGTTTTTGCTGTCGCACACACTCACTCACTGTCTGTCTGTCTGTCCGGGATGGATATCGCGTTTATTTTTAGATCCAGTGGGTTTGGCCTACAAGAGTTTAGTAGCTATCCATCATGTGCTGTGAGGAGGGTCGGTCTAAAGATGAAGACGTCCTTCCTGTCCCACATTAAACAGTTGCTCTGAACGAAACACACACACATACTGCTATAATTTATAGTAAAAGCTGTAATGTTTTTGAAGTAGAACGTCCAATTAATTTATTGTGGTAATAGTTGCTACAGTAAGCTATATTAATAAACAAATGACCCAATATTTTAGTTTTGTACAACTACAGGCTATCCCTACTGAAAAAAAACCCCAGCTTAAACCAGCCTAGGCTGGTTGGCTGGTTTTAGCTGGTCGACCAGGCTGGTTTTAGAGGGGTTTTGGCCATTTTCAGGCTGGATACCAGCCATTTCCAGCCTGGTCAGGCTGGGAGATGACCAGCTAAAACCAGCTTGACCAGCCTAGCCAGACTGGGAGCCCAGCCAAAACCAGCTATGTCCAGCTTAAACCAGGCTGGTCAAGCTGGTTTTAGCTGGATTTAGCTGGTCATTTTCCACCCTGACCAGCTAAGACCAGGCTGGAAATGGCTGAAAACCAGCCTGGAAATGGCCAAAACCCCTCTAAAACCAGCCTGGTCAACCAGCTAAAACCAGCCAACCAGCCTAGGCTGGTTTAAGCTGGATTTTTCAACTGGTATATTATACGCTATGATACACTACAGTTTACATGTAGGCTACTACAGTTTTTATTAAAGTTTATCAGTTCACTATAGTTAATACAGTATATGCATTCATTAATAATGAGGTTTATAAATGTTAAAATATAGAGTTGAACACACATTACAGTATGTTTCAAAGGCAATGTATTTACGACCCACATAGCAAAATTTCTCTGGCTTACACAATCAGTTTTTGCTTGGTTCACATGCCGCAGTGAATTTCGGAATATGACTGGACCAAGTCTGGCTTCCAGACAAGTGCCAAACATGTAGCCTACCATATCTGGGCCCAGTCTCAGCCAAGTTAATAACCCAGCACTGGGCCAGACATGTGTGTGTTACGACTGCTATTAAACTGATAAAGCCATAAAGCATTTCGCTTTAGGCACACTATACTTTTTTTTCTCTAACCGATTTTTTTTCCCTCAAAAATAATTTAAATGTGGGTCAAGACAGGTCAAACTTACGTGGTCCACATATACATTTTTAACATCTGGGCCAACTACTACATTTGACGTCTGGCCCAAGTCTTGTGTGAATGTGAATAAATTTAGATGTGTAATATTTTGATAAAACTACATGGTCTACATAAAGTATATCATTGAATTATAATTACATCTGAATTACTCAGTTCTCATTTTTCTATTGCATTATATTCATTATAATTGATGCATTTTGTTAAAATGTAATATTTTAAAATAGAAAGTTTTTTTTAATTATTTATTTATTTTTCATTAATATTAAATATTTTCTGTAACAAATGCATTGAGCACAAATGCATTGAGCACATCTTAAAAGTTACCAACCCAAAACCTTTTTTATTAAATAATATGAAATAATAATTCATTTTCTTTATTCTCTATTTTCACCTATTGATACTCATTCCGAGGCTCCTAGGGATTGTGCAGCACCATTGATGCGATCCAAGACCTGTGAAAATATGATGCCAAGGTATCCATAATCCTGGACCAGGCCGTGTCCAGAGCAGATGCTGTTGTGGTCATTGAGGAGCGGAGAGCATGAGACTGATTCCTGAAAGACCACCGTGACAGACGAGTCTCCGCATTGATCTCGTGGGCCAGTCTGAACACCCGCCGGTGCCCTACTCACACCAGCAGCTCTCCTAGATGGATGTTCCGCGTTCTCCAGCCTCTGGTGCCTAGACTGCGGCTCTGCACAAGAAGTTTGGCCAGAAGAGAAATGGCCGTGCCCAAATGAGCCTAGTTACTCTTAAGGTCTTTTAATCCTTTACTTCTACTTTACGTCAAGTGGTGAAGTTTGTTCCCCCACTTTCGCCACTGGCTTGCTTGGTTTGGGACTTGTGGAGCTGCGCATCAATGGATTTGCTCGTCATCATTTGGACTTTCAGCAGTGAAAATGCAACCACACTGAACTAAATACACTGAACTTCAAATCTGAAAACTGAAGCAGTTTCAGTTTACTAGAACTTCTATGGTAAGCTGCTTTAACACAATCTACATTGTAAAAGTACTATAGAAATAAAGATTAATTGAATTGAATTAAATAACTATATTTTAAATATTTGTTCACTGTTAATTAATATTTTAATTAATAATAAATGCTGCACAAGAAATGGTTCACTACTTAAAATGTTACCAACCCAAAACCTTTTGATTAAATATCTTAATATCTTCCCAATGAAAATTAAAACATCAATCGTAAAATGAGAGCTTTATTGATATCAGATGAAATACTGATTCCAAATTCCTCACACAAACTTTTTTCTTTAAACCCCCCCCCAAAAAAAAACAAAACAAAAACCATTGGAATAGGAAAAGCGGTCCCACAGAATGATAAATACACAGATTGAGTGCTAAAACAACACATGATGACTGATCATAAATGTACACTCAATAAAATAAGACAATATACATTAACATCAACACCACCTAAACCAATGAAGTCACAATACAACTGAACCAAACGAAACACAACGACGTGACTAAATCAGAACCTCGAGCTCAGTTTGGTCAGCCTATAGTTGATGAAAGAGTCTTTGGTTGTTCAAGGCTTTTTATTTACGAGCCTCTCTTGGATGACCTCATTCAGCGGCCACATTTACTAGCTGTCGATCCCGAAAAAAAAGAGTCTGGTTTACCACTTGATTTGTGGTTTGATGGCGGGAACATCACAGGCTGTAAAACGCCTCAGTTCCCTTTTCTTGGGCTGAAGACTTTGCTCTGGCTAATGTACGCGACCTGTGCCCTATAAATGGCATATAAATGCCTCATTAACTCCATAATCACATTCAAAAGGAGGCAGATCACAATCTGGAGAGGAAATGTGCACACAAACCTCTATCAAACGCTACTACTTCCGCTATACGAGGTCACAAGTAAGACCACTGTGGTTGCTACGGTTTACCATAGGCGTAACATCCCTAAACAAACGTCGAAATGAACAGATCAATAAATAGACGTATAAATAAACAACATGCAAGTGACAGAGAAATAAAGAAAAGAGGGAAAACAAAATGGACGACGCTTACGTTTCAGGGCCAGATTTACTAACAGCTTGCGCCAGCACAAACATTGTCAAAACAACTATAGTGTGAAGACACGCAGTGATGGAAAGGCGCGAGTTATTTTTGCAGCTTATTGCGTTTCTCTTTCAGAGTTTGTTATATATTTATGTATAAGCAGCTTGTGTAATGAAATGTGTTGTTGCCTATTTACTAACGCAAACATATTCATATCATGATGATCAGGTCCTGGATACAAGACAAATTTAACAAACCAAGACATATTATTGGTTTGTAATTACCATGAATTGTGTCCTAAAGTGTCACCCATTATTTGGTTACTTTTGACAGTGGAAACGTAAATAAATGCGTACCGTACTGTACTGAACCGCTCAGTGTAAAAGAGCCAGAACAAGTTGCTGCTGCAGTTCATTTAACGGCCACCGGTGATGACACTAACGATATTAACAATATTTCTGAATTCTACGTATAGCCCTTTAAATTAATCATGCAACATGATTTACTAAGGTTTGTGGTACACAGTTTGCTAGTGTTTGCGCCATTATTTGAGGATGAAAACAAGCATGTCAACCTATTTTGCGCTTTTTGTGATCGCAGGATGAGGAATGCCGTAAACATAAGATGTGTGGTAACATGTTGACGTCAGGGTGTTTACACTTATCGGGTTTGGTTTGATGAAGAAAGCTGGTGGGATTGCTCTAATAGAGCAGTTCTTTTTTTTTGACTGATTTTTTAAGCATACTTTTTTTATCATAGTCACAATGTTGCCCATTACAGTTCAATATATGTGTCGTAAATGCCTCATCGCAAATCTTCATTTGTGTGTGACGGAGATATTTCTGGCACTGTTTTGGCTCACATTTCATCAACCATCACATGTATGAATATTAAATTAGCTCTGCTGAAAAATATATTTCATAAAAAGAAATATTTTTTGTGTTGCTACAGCTACAGATTTAGTCTTAATGGCTGAGATTGTGAGCGCTAACGGCTGATTTATACTACATTCATGCTTATGTTCCGGAGCAACCTTTGCACGGTCGCATAGCCCTTGCCATGCTTGACGCCAATGTGCATCTCTCAAACATGTAACTACACGTCACAATGATGCATAGTGCAAGCTCTGTGATTGGTCGGCTTGGTAGCTGTGATGAGTGTGGATGGTGCTGAGAGCCACAAACCCAATGGAGCGAGTGTTTACAAGTGTGGAGTCCCGTGAAGGAGCTGCAGATGGAAACTTTTGTTTTGTGTTTACCTCACGGTTAAAATTGTTGCACGCCCGCTGGCTCCCGCCTCTGAATGAGCTACTTCTACAGTAAGGTAGTATTCAGAATAAAACAAAACACCAGCGAAGAAACTCAACACAGAGGAACATACAAATCTACTGCCAGATAGCGTTTCGGAAGTGTTATTGCAGAGTAACGCAAACAGCATGCAGAAATATAAATGCACAGCTACATGGGTCATGGGTCACGCCGAAAACTCGATGCAAAAATATAAACCAGCCTTAATGCCGAGTTCAGACTGCAGGATTTTCAAAGTAGTCACATCACAAACGTTTTCATACTACATGACTATCTGGGGTAGCATTCCTCCGCTGCTGTGTTTATACTGCAAGATTGAGAATAGGACTTTACAATGACTTTACAATAGGAAGAATCGCAGGCAACTTTGTCTCTGTCCGCAAACTACGTCTCACAAACACACGTGAGAAGTCACTTTGGAAACAATGCAAGGTCACATGGTACACGGGTCCTCAACAACCGGGCAACGAACCAGTACCGGTCCGTGGATGAATTGGTACCGAGCGGAACAAGAAATCACTACCTATTTCTGGTATATTTATTATCTAAATCTAGACGATCTTTTATTTTGAAAAGTATTTTATTTAGAAAAATAACCGCATTCTCTCAGTTACATCTCAGTCACTTGAGCACCCAAATGTAACTCACAAGCAGCAAAATGAGTAAGAAACAGACATATTTGGCAAGTTTCTTTGCTAAGAGTAAAAGGCCCAGTAAAGAACCCACGAACTGCCAAGGAATGGATCCGCAACCCATTTGTCAACAAGAAGATCAACGTCATTGCAAATGACGGCAGCATTGTAGGATATGCTGTTCGCATATCCCGTCTTTTCTAGTTCACGCAAGTTCGTTTTTTCCAGTGGAGGTAACATGATCGCGCCTTCCAGTCGCACTCAGTTGAATGAATGCCACAAACACAGCGAGTCAGGTGACAAGAACTGACTGATCAGCTTCAGCTTGTATGGAATATACACATTTCGGCAGACCAATTACCCCATCTTCCCGCTGGCCTGGATGCTGCTCTCTCATTGGATGTTATTTTCAGTCAGAACACATTTCACACGGCATGATTTTGAATCGCCAACAGGTCCAGATATTTAGCATGCCAGATATCTCACGGGTGTCGGCGACTCTTCGGCGATTCTCTCAGATCACGTCTTTGATAGTTCACACTGTGCGACTGTTACTCACACGAACAAGCACTGATTTGCCTGTGAGTTCAGGCATTTGTCGGCGATTCCTCAAAACCTGTCAGTGAGTCAAAATCGGGCCTAAAATCATGTAGTCTGAACTCGGCATAAGTGAACCAAAATAAAATCTATTATTTTTGCATCTTTGGTCCAGACCAAACACACCAAGATAACCAAACTACAAGTGTGAACACTTCGAAATTGTTCTTGATAGATTGCATTTGTCATTTAAAAAAAAATAGCTCTTTAAATCTTGCACTTTTATGGGATTGCGCAGCACGCTATTTCGCCCTGTGTAGTAAATCTGGCCCTCATTTAAAACACAGATGAGTTCAAAGGTGCCGTGCTTAAACGGGTTCATCATTCACCCTTCTTTTACCATTGGATCCAGCCATTAGTTAAACCTGAGTGTGGGACAAAACTGTGACCTTGGCCAACCCAACAAAGGAAAGCAAACATCGATTTGTGTCAGTTTGCGCTCCCTTAAATCAATTAGGAAAAATCTTGCACCATACAAACACTTGGTGTCTAGCCGGCACACATTCGCTCAGTCACGCACGTGTATTCATACATATACACGGGAATAGAGGGGGTTTGCGATTCTGCTGCTGCTGCTGCTATGAACCTTGCATCCTCAAGGTTTCGAGGTGCGTGTCAGGTAGATCGATTTCCAGGGAGGAAGTTACAGCCAGATAATGAAACTAATTATTCATCTTCTTTCCAGCATTATGGGCCACGGGGAGCTCAGGCTCTTCAGTCCCAGCCGTTGTCCTTGATCATGTGGGCCAGCTCGATGATGAATTTGCCCTCCTTGTACTTCTGACTGCTTTCGAAGGCATGCTCCTAATGGAAAGAAGAAGAGGGAGGGAGACAAACGGTCAGGAGAATGTCAAGCCAAAAATAATGGACATCTGTCGGGCAGCTTTTCTGGGTGTGTCAATCAAATACAACACTGTTAAAGGTCCCGTGAGTTGCTTTGAAATGTAAATTTTTTATTCAATGTTTGACATAATTCATTCATTCATTTTCTTTTCAGCTTAGTCACTTTATTTATCAGGGGTCACCACGGCGGAATAACCTGCCAACTTATCCAGCATGTTTTACGTAGCGGATGCCCTTCCATCTGTTTCCAATTGGGAAACATCCATACACTCTCATTCACACTCAAACACTACGAACAATTTAGCTAACCCAATTCACCTATAGCGCATGTGTTTGGACTTGTGGGGGAAACCGGAGCACCCGCAGGAAACCAATGCCAACACAGAGAGACCATGCAAACTCCACACATAAATGCCAACTGACCCAGGTGAGGCTCGAACCAGAGACCTTCTTGCTGTTAGGCAACATCGCTACCCACTTGCCACCACGCTGCCCTGTTTGACATAATCTCAACTGAAAAATTAAGAGACGGCGGGACATAGAGTAGCTCCTCCCCTTTTAAAAACAGCCAATAGCGTTTGGTTTTTATCACAGCTTTGCCAGTGGGAGTGGTTGAGCTCAAACACATCAAATCAAAAGCAAATGAGAAGCATCTTGAAGGGGGCGGGGCATGTCAGATACTAGAGAGCATTTGATTGGTCAAGATTTGATGACAAACGGAAGTATTGGGTGACGTCAAAAAATTGTTGATCCATTTAGGTGGAAGTGACAAACTGTTTTCTAAGTAACAAAGCCTATTTTCTAAGCGCAAATTTTGTCACTGTTTTGACCTCACTATACATGGGACAATTAAATAGCAGTCCCTGCTGAAAAATCCAGCTTAAACCAGCCTAGGCTGGTTTAAGCTGGACTTTTCAGTAGGGGTATTAAAAGAAACATTTGTAACGTAATGTGTGTGTTTATATAGCACATTTATTGTGTATGGCCATACACCCAAAGCACTTCACAACCATGCAAGGGATCTTTCCACACCACCACCAGTGTGCAGCATCCACTTAGATGAGGCGATGGCAGCCACAGGACAATACGCTTATTTCAGGCAGCCACCATTTTAAAGAACCAAAGCGAGGCTGCGGTGGGAAGAAACCCGGAGGTATAGGAGCACTGTAAACATTGCACTAACATGCTGTGGACTACAAACCTCCAGCTGTTGCAGATATATCAAAATGCAGAAATGGTGTAAACATCACTTTAATATCATTTAGTAAGTTTAATTTAAACAATTAAAAGCAAATTAGCATAAAAAAACATCACAATCTCTTTAAGAGTAATATGCTCAAGTGCCCTGCTAGGCTTCAGTTCATAGCTTTCCTGCTTTAGCCTATGTAACCCGATGAGTGATAAAACACTGCAGTCCTCTGCAGCACACCCTCATGTTGTATGTAATAGTGCTGTCCCGGTACTGAAGTTTTAAAAACGTCCATTTCCCGCTAACATTTACCGTTCAAAAACAGCGCTGATTTATTATAGTGTTCACCAGTGCTCATCAGTTTACCGCTCTTCACCAAGTGCAAACACAGATACATGGAGACTGTAGTGCGAAGCAGCCGTGAAGATCAGTCGAGTCATCAAGCAGATCGCTAATCTGTGTTTGTTTTCTTTGTTTGTTCGTTACTACACCTGTACACGTAAAGTGCTACACCTGTAAAGTCCAGCATCTTCACATTGGCACACTGTCTTGACTAGTGTGGTTGAATGACATTTGTCCTGGGAGCACTGTACAAATATGGCGGCGCTATTGACGCATGCTCAGACTCCGTATGCAATATAGTGTATATATCTATGCATAGGTAACATGTTTTAGCTGTTGTTATTTGACAGTGTGCTAACATGAAGAAGCATACTAGTTTTACTATGCGTTTACATTTATTTCTATATATTTTCTCACTAAAAACTACTGCTTAATATTTCTGTGGAATCCAATAATTTGATCTAATTTCCTTTGGTGAACAGAACATTTAAATTAACAACTTTTACAATTTAGTTTTTGTAAGTTATATAAAATTGTACATTATTTACGGTCAAATGACACCACGACATGCTAAATAAAAATTAAATAAAAAATTGTAGCCAAATAAACTACCAGACATTAAACAGAGAGGGAACTTGTTTACATTTCCTGAAGTGTGTCCGGCTGATTAGCCATCTGCTAGACTGTGAAGACTACAAAATTCAAAGCCAAACGACTGTAATAATACTGTTGTGTCTTGCAAAGCACAAGGCACTCAGGAGGCTGTCAGCAGTAGATTAGTGACGTGGGAAGCAGGTCACGAGAGTGTAGAAAAGCCACTTAAAGTATCTCTCTTGATGAGCTGTGTCCGGGTCTTATCCCTCATATACGAGATATACAGTAGAGGAGTAATCTGGACTGGCGGGGAGAAAGCTGTAAAATGAGAGTGTCTGTCTGTTGTGAGTGAGTCTGCACTATAAAAAGTATTTTCAGTATTTTGTGATTCATGTTTTTAATTTTGTTATTTTTCCCCTTTTATTTATACTTTTGCATTGCATTATGGGATCTTGATCTTTGCAACACCTTTTAACCTTGAAAAGTAAAAAAAATACTTTTATTGACATTTTTAATAGTTTAAACTAATGACTGTAAAAAATATGGACGACGCGACAGCCCCTTTTCCCATTGAACGCCTTGAGGGCAAAACGCCTGCTTGACGGGCACAAACTGTCGCAAAAGACTGCTGAAATTGGAGCCTTGACATGCGCAGAAGGATTGTCTGATGGAGCCAGAGGAGGAGCCGCGAAAATCGAGTCGAGCTTCCAACCAAACGCTTTATGTAAAATCAACCACGCCCCCCGAAATTCTCAGCATGCGTTTGCTGTCATATCAACACAAATGGATGTAATAACGTTAACAAAGATGAGGGTTTTATATATTCAATCGCGCCAGCTCCGGGCCGCAGCGCATAACCTACTCGCAGCGACGCAGGCTGATTCCGGCTCGCATGCGGCAGCGCCGGCTCGCTCGGCCGCCGCATCTGGCTCGATTGACTCGGGCTGGAATCGGGCAGTGAGTCCAGGCATCCGGAGTAGGTCCAGCAGAGGTAGTCAGTCTGAGCTCTGAGGGGTAAGTCTCCGGCAGGTGAGAATCTAGCCAGAACTGGCCCGAGTGTATTTTGCTATCGGGGTGGTTAGGCGTGTATCAGCAAACTAATAAAGCCCGAAAAAAGCCCTGAACTTAGCGAATAAACAGTGTTCCACCAGGATCATGTATGTCAGAAACTATAGTTTACTGTTGAACTCATTTTGTCAAGGTGAAATAACACAGAAATCGAATAATAACACTTCAGTCTCCTGCCGAAGCTCAGACGCGTTGCTTTGAGAAACTGTCAATCACAGCTGTCAATCACGATGACACGCCCAGCATTAAATTACTGCTAAAAACAAACTTTTTACAAAAATGAAGATCTGCACCTATTTCAGAACAATAACCAGTGCCTTAATCGACCAGAGCTATCTTTCATCTTTCTTTTTATTGCAAGTGTAATAATTTTTTTTATTTGGGCTCAAGTCTCCTTCATTAACACGGGGAGGTGGGCTTTATGACTTGTACTGCAGCCAGCCCGCAGGGGGCGATCTAACAGCCGAGACCTTCACTCAAACACAGGCTTGCGGCACACTTGGTTTAAACTGATCTATTGTCTGTGAAAAGTCAGTAAAAGTCACTTTCTTAATCTGTAGAGTTGAATTTTCAACAACAAAAGTCGACAGAGCTCCCACAATTAACAACCATAAATAAACGGAAAACACAAAACACCTCCATATTTCTGGTGTGATTGAGAACTTACATATTTCCAGCCCAGAGTGGTTTTACAGTTCTCACAGTAGATGTCGGCCACAGCGTGCAGACCCGTCAGCAGGACCCGCTCCTCTGCTGGACCACAGCCCACATTCACCCTGATTGATGACGAGAGAAATCAATTACAAAAACAAAAAAAACAAAAACAGTAGCCATTTTTGTTGGTAGCATGGTTTGCACGTCGCTAGCAAATGACAAATGTTTTTTACAGGATTTAAGGCCATGCTAACATGAAATATCATGCTGCTAGCATGTTCTTATCGTGGTACTTTGCACACTGTGAGCATAAATTAGCATGTTAGTAACATGGTTTAATGTTTCTAACATGTTTAACATGTTGTTAGCATGTTTTAACACAGAGTTGCTAACATAAATCTGCATGTTACTAGCATTTTTTTATACAACTACCATAGTTTGCAGATTCAGATGTTTAAAAAACATGTTAGCATGTTGTTGACTTTAATAAACATAGCCTATATCTACCATGTTTAACATTTTGCTAACTCTTTTTATTGTATGTGTAGCATATTTGTTTATTTTATTTTTGTATGTATTTGACGGTATTAATTGACAGGTTGCTACATATGGTATAACATATGGTAACAATGCTTCAGCATGAGTAGCTAACAAATCAGCATGTTACTAGCATTGTTATACATGATCTAACATAGTTTGGAATCAGAATCAGATACAAAAACATGTTAGCAGGTTAGCAAATATCTACCCTGTTGCTATTAAAAATTTACTATTTTTGTATGTGTAGCATATTAGTTTATCATATTTAAGCATGTGTTTTCTGGTATTAATTAACATGTTGCTAATGTTTTTTGGCACATAGCTAACATGTTGCTAGAATAAATTTGAATGCTGCTAGCATGTTTAAAAAGTAGCTAGCATGTTTTTAATATGGTACTTTCAACACTGTGAGCATGGATTAGAATGTTAGTAATATGTTTTACTGTTTCTAAAAACGTTTAGCATGTTGTTAGCATGTTTTAACACATGGTAACAATGCTTCAGCATTAGTAGCTAACATAAATCAGGATGTTACTAGCATTGTTATACATGATCTAACATAATTTGGATTCAAAATCAGATTAAAAAACATGTTAGCAGGTTAGCATATATCTACCCTGTTGCTATCAAAAATGAACTCTTTTTATTGTATGTGTAGCATATTAGTTTACCATATTTATGCATGTGTGTTCTAGTATTAATTAACGTGTTGCGAATGTTTTTTGGCACATAGCTAGCATGTTGCTGGAATGAATTTGAATGTTGCTAGCATTTTTAAAATGTACCTAGCATGCTTTTAATAATGGTACTTTGCAGACTCCTAGGAAGGATTAGCATGTTAGTAACGTGTTTTACTGTTTCTAAAACGTTTAGCATGTTGTTAGCATGTTTTAACACATGGTAACAATGCTTCAGCATTAGTAGCTAACATAAATCAGGATGTTACTAGCATTGTTATACATGATCTAACATAATTTGGATTCAAAATCAGATTAAAAAACATGTTAGCAGGTTAGCATATATCTACCCTGTTGCTATCAAAAATGAACTCTTTTTATTGTATGTGTAGCATATTAGTTTACCATATTTATGCATGTGTGTTCTAGTATTAATTAACGTGTTGCGAATGTTTTTTGGCACATAGCTAGCATGTTGCTGGAATGAATTTGAATGTTGCTAGCATTTTTAAAATGTACCTAGCATGCTTTTAATAATGGTACTTTGCAGACTCCTAGGAAGGATTAGCATGTTAGTAACGTGTTTTACTGTTTCTAAAACGTTTAGCATGTTGTTAACATGTTTTAACACATGCTTCAGCTAGAATTGCTAACATCAACCAGCATGTTAATTACATTATTATACATGATTAGCATAGTTTGGATTCAGAGTCATATTTGTAAAAACATTTGATTGAATATTAAACATATAGCCTATCTACCTATTTATCGTTTAACATTTTGCTAACTCTTTTAATTGCATGTGTAGCATATTTGTTTATCATATTTGCCCATTGTTTTCTGGTATTAATTAACATGTTGCTAATGTTTTTTGGCATATAGCTAACATCTTGCTGGAATGAATTTGAATGTTGCTAGCATGTTTTAAATGTAGCAAGCATGTTTTTATCATGGTACTTTGCAGACTGTGAGCATGTTTTACCATTTTGAACACATTTAACATGTTGTTAGCGTTGTTATGTTGTTTTTAGCACATGGTAACATGCTTCAGCTTAAGTTGCTAACATAAATCAGTGTGCTATTAGCATTTTTATACATGACTAACATAGTTTGCAGATTCAGATAAAAAAAACATGTTAGCATGTTGCTGATTTGAATTAACACATTTACCATGTTTAACATGTGTAGCATATTTGTTTATCACATTTTGTATGAGTTTACTAGTATTATGTTACTGTTTTACGAGTATTATGAACAGGCTGCTAATGTTTTTGGGCACATGGTTTACATGTGGCTAGTTTGAATTTGAAAACTGCCAGCATGTTTAAAATGTAGCTTGTGTTATCTTAAACCTGTTATCAGCATGTTTTAACACTACACCAAGAAGAATTAGCATGTTGCTACCATTTTTAGCACATAGCTAAAATTTCTTTGCTGTTGCTATCACTTTATTGAGTGAAAGTCTATAGAATATGAAAACTGTACATCTGAAAAGTTTGGAAAGATGTAATGTGGCATATTTCTCAAGCCAACATAATTACTAACCATTCTGAAATGTTTAAGATTTATGGCTTGTTGTTTTGCTGCTTTGTATGCAACAAAAAGTGGTAAAGTGACAAGCCATAAATCTGAAACAATTCGCACAAGGACACACTACAGTACTTACACTGAGTTGAAGAGGTAGGCCCTGCCTTGACTCCCTTGAAAAGACTGCAAAGGAAATAAAGCAAAATGAAAGATTACGAATGAAATCTGTCAATCTGTCTTTGTCACTACATGCATGCGAAAACACTAAAAACTAACACACAGAAAATAAATGAATAAAAGCAATAAACTTCTTTATGTTTAGGTTTGTAGATATAAATGAAGACATGAAGTTTAGTGCAAATACCACTAAAGTGAACATTTCTGATTTGGTGCATGGGGAAAAAAATGTCTAGTTTAAAGAAAAACTTTAAAGATATATATACTATCATAAATAAACATTATTTTCCTTAAGTGTGTTCTTGTGCAGGTACCTTGGTCTGTAATGAATAAATAAATATGAAACTAAAACCACCAGTTATTGGTGACAAGTTGAATAATTCAAATGATTCGCCTGATTACATTTAAAAAAATAAATAACGTGTATCATTATGCAATTGGTTTGAGGCACCTGGGACAATGAATGTTACCTCCAGAACGTGCCCCCTAAACATGGATAAATCAGTTACCCATCAATACCATTTGAGTCCTTATTAATTGTGAAATTACCACTGCCAGTACATAATCATCCAATTATTTCACATCTCCAAACAATTTAGAAAAAGACATTCCAGATTTTTCAATCTGACCCTTTCTTAACTCCTTCATCTTCTATCTAGGCCAATCCAAAACTGTTAATAGGTAGAACACCAGTGTTATGGAAGCAATGGATAGATGATATTAACATTTTGGAAGATCTTTATGAAGATGACAAATTAATATCTTTTGAAAGACTTAAGCAAAAATCTAATCTGCATAATAATCAGTTCTGGAGGTATCTGCAGTTGGAGTAAATTTCAAAGCCATATTAAAATTTCATTTTACAAAGGCCTGTCTGAAAAAAAGATTTTAGATATTTTTTTAAAAACAATAAACACCGGAGGAGGTTTAAAATATTATTTATAAGGTATTTGCATATGATGATATTAATCAAATCACGCAAACAGAGCATTTTTTGGGTGAGTGAAAGCAGAAACGACCTTCTTTTCTGTCATCAAACAAGGACATTTATGTTTTTATATGACGTGATAAAATTTAAAAATGAAATGATAAATGTAGAGCTTTATTAGTAAACAGCTAATAAAGTAAATAGTGGCATACTCTTGAGTGCTAAAACACTTCACTTTCCATTACTTAAGATAAACGAATAATATGCAACATCCTTAAATAAAGGGGAATTACCTATTAAGTGTCATATAGCCTATGGGGAAAATTTTGAGTTTCAGGTCTCTCCGGAGCATTTGGGCTAAATGTATGACGACGTCTACCTTATGAGGATGTTATAAAATATATTTCATACCGAGTTATTAATGGAGAATTTTTGTGGTTATATATTATGGATGGTGCACTCACTGCGCTGGGTCCCTCTGTTATTGGCGAGACCACTCGATGCACGATGCCAACAGTCAGTCGGTGAGTAAACAAATATAATGAACGGAAATACTTAGGTATTATTTTACTTAATGTAATGCTGTATAGTAATGGGTCATTTGTTTGTTTCGGTTGTCTTCATTTTAATGGTTTGGTGATAATGCGATAGTGTGCTTATCTGCCTGATTCCCGCTGAAGTGGGCGGGTTGTGTGACGTTTGATTCGGGAGACGTTCTGGAAATGCCACATGATTTCGGCCTCACTACTCAACCTCCCGGGCAATTGGCCTGGCCCGTCCTGATAAAAGCCCTGGCTCACACTGGCCCGACAGTTGAAATGTGGCTGTTTTATCACAAACGTCTTTGGCTCCCCTTCAAATTCTCCTAAGGTAAAAATATTGATAACTTGGTCCTCAATATTATACTGGCCATGAAGCTTCTAAATACTATGCACAACTCAGTCGAACGAGTCAAAATATTAGTTCTGCTGTCAAGATAATATGAGATAAAGATTTGGGTTGCACATTTGAAGATGAGAACTGGGAGAAGAAGAAAAAAAAAATTGCTGGGAATTTAAAATAATGTCTTGAGATCTTACAACACGTCTAATACAGTGTAAAGCACAGGTGTCAAATTCAGTTCCAGGAGGGCCGCAGCTCTGCAGTTTAGCTTTGACCCTAATTAAACACACCTGATCAAACTAATTGAGTCCTGCAAGTTTGGTTGAAACCTACAGGTAACTGTGTTTAATTAGGGTTAAAACTAAACTGTGCAGAGTTGTGGCCCTCCAGGAACTGGATTTTACACCTGTGGTATAAAGTTTTACATCAATTTTACTGGACTCCTAAGAGACTGTTCAGAGCAGGTTTCAAAAACAATCCAGAATGCTGGCGATGCCAAGAAGAAGCAGGTGACCTATTTCATGTTTTATGGCAATGCCCAGAAGTCCAACATTTTTGGAGAGAGGTGCATGGATACCTTGTACAAATATTGCAGACCCAGTATGACTTTTGCCAAAGCTTATACATACTTGGTGACCCCTGTCCCTTAAGCCACATGAATAAAGCTGAATCACAGTGGATAAAGAGCTGTATCATGCTAGGCAGACGGGTCATTGTTAAAAACTGGAAATCTTCCAGTAGACCTCCGATCTTCGAGTGGATCTCAGAGTTAGGACGAGTTGCAGCTTTTGAAAAACACTTCCACAGCAGTGGTTCTCAAAGTGGGGAACGGAATTCCTCGAGGAGTCGCGGGACAATGAAGGGGGTTGTTTTAAAAAAATCTATTTATTTTTATTAAACCATATAAGAATGACCATATTTCATCTGTAACTTTCTGAAGAGAAAAAAATAGTCGTTTATAGTTACTATATATACTATATAGTAGCTTATAGTTACTAGTTCTATTGGATTGTGACCCCAGTGGTAATTACATTATATTAAAAAAACAGCAATAGTGTCAGATGCAGCAGATTGATTTTATAACACCAGGTTAAACTTTCTGGCCCATTTACAGCAATGACATTAAATGAAGAATATACCCGGGTGTATTGGTGTGTGTGTGCCATTGCATGCAAGGTTTCAGTATTTATAACCACCTCATAGAATATTGGGGGTCGCGAGTCACTGGCATTGTCATTTTAGGGGTTGCATGCTGAAAAGTTTGGGAACCCCTGTTCTACAGTTTACATGGAAAAATTGACATTTATTTTGATAAATTTGGAACATTTCTTAATTTCTGCTACCCACAATGTTAACAAACATGTAACTAGACAAAATAATAATTAAGGCTAAGATATTAGCACCCCCCTGCTTTTTTCTTTTATGTATTTTTGGCTTGGTTTACTTACTGATTTTATATGATGTTATTTCTTTATTGTATTTCTTTATTTTGTTTTGTTCTGCTTTACATTAATGCTCTCTAGTTGATATTTATGTGCATTATTTGAAACAAGAAAAATCAATAAAAAGTTCAAATCATAAAAAATGTTAAATAAATAAATAATGTGCAATTCACAGGTGCAAATATGTCTAATAAAGCAAACATATAACAGAAATCTGGATGTTCCTGTCTGGAATTACATGTTATGAAAAGATAAACGTAAAAGTTGACTCAAAATGTTTTTCATAGCATTAAAATATGCATGCACGCACAGACATATTATAATATATATAACTCTTTTGCCTGTAGAATCTCTTAAATACATTTCAAGAGTTCACACTTAGCTGATGATTGATAATAAGGCTAGTTTGGCATGCTGTCCCGGGAGAGAGCCCTGAGCTTATAAGATCCTCGAGCCCTGGGCTCCCTCCCGTTGCAAGGCGAGAGGGAGGTTTTTTTTTTTAAGAGTGCTTGTTTTTGAACTGTGGGAGGAAACCGCAGGACTCGGGGAAAACCTACGTGACCACGGGGAGAGGGGGGGTTCTTCGAGACGAAGATATTGAGATGAGAAAAGTCTGGTTATGTATAGTGAGTTAAGGATCGTCTGATAGGATAATCGGTTATTAGCTAAAGTCGGAACAGCTGTGAACAATCATAAGCACGTGATACTCTCGAAATTTGTTTATAAATAAACTTTACTTATTTTTATCATTTTGGACTTCTTGCATAAATAACTGAATCTATGTTTGATTTTTCAACTCTAATAAATGCCAAATTGGCTGAAGTGTGTTTTACTTCACGGCTGGTATTGCGGCTGCACAATCAGCAAATCTTTCGGAAAAATGTAATTCCCTTTGCTTTACAACCTTGGTGGATCAGATTTCCCTGTACTGATGTGAAACAGGGGCAGGGTCATGATTACAGCCGTCTGAAGCTGTTTGGCCATATGGATGTGGTTCAAAACATCATTAGGGTGCTTTGATTTTGTATGTGCTGGACATAATCGCATGAACAAAGGTTTTCTTTCTCTATCTCGAGCCTAATAACCTACAAAACCTGATTGAAACACCTGGGTAAGCTAAGCACTTGTAACATAATACATTACACACCTGAACGTAATCATAAACCTATTGAAAGTATGAAGTATTTTCAGTGAAAAAGTGGATAAAATGATTAATTCTAATCCATAAATTAAATTGGACAGTCTCAGCAGATAAATCATTCATTACTATTAAATTGAAGTGGAGAAGAAATGCTTATTTTTTTTGCAGTTTTAATAGTACTACTTTTAACTCCATGCATGACACACATATAATCTATTTGTCTGTGATCATTTTTGCAATTCCTGCTCACTAGGATAAATGAAAATGACTATATGATGGCGATAACTATATTGTTTTTAAAACCTTGCCCTTTTAAACACAAACTTATTTTAATTGTTAGTGCCTCAAAATGAGTAGACATGAAAAAAGGCCACAATGGATAAACAGTTAAATACTGCGGAGTAAAAAGCAATCCAAAGTAACCAATAATTTAAAACATTTAAATTATTCAATTTTTGTGCTCTATGAATAGGAGTAAAATAATATCATATTTATAACATAACTCATATCTAAAGCTATCCAAATGCTGAATCACATTTTCTTTCCCAAGTTTTTATACAATGTACACAAACCCAGTTAGTTGACTCTGTTGTTTCTGATCCTTCTCATCCAT